TTCTGATTCTGACCTCATCTGGCATAAATCAGGAATAATTTAGCATGTGTCAGCTGAACATCAGCAGCTCCGGGCAAACAAAACACAATGGAAGAGAAATCAGGAACAGGCCCAACAGCTTCAGTAAGACTCACCATGAACAACCAGAATGGGCAAGAAGCAAGGCAGAGATAACATTAGGCAGCAGAAATTCTTCAAATATTTTGGACAGACTTGATGGTGCACCTGTGTCAATCTCCAGCCTACCACCTGAAAATGATGGCTATTTGCTTTAATATTTCTCTTGCCAGAAGAGCCCTGCCACACAAAATCAGCCCTTAGGGAGCTGGAGACAGGGTAGGAAGTGAGGGATTTGCCTCCCTTCTGCTACCCAAAATGGGAGAAAAGAGCATCAGGGAGCTGTGCCCACTGGAAGAAGCTTTCCACAGAGAGTTTAGGAGCCAGCTCAGATTTTACCAATTGGCTCTTCCTCCAGCCCAGCCTTGTTTGTCCCCAGCCTTCTGCTTAAACAGGTAATTGAATAGTGCTTTTGCTGAATTAAATAGAAGATCTGGGAAATAAGCAGCTCCATGCTGTAGAAATGATGGGGAAAATTATCGATACATATGTCTGTGTAATGCTAACAGCTGTCAAGAAGTAAAAAGGAACAAAGCTGAAATGACACTGTTACACATTTCCATATAAAATTCTTTCCCTGTAGCCATCCCTGTTCCTTCATCTGCTACACCAGCAGGGAACCATTTCCTAGGTGGTGAATTAACTCATTAACATTATTCAGAGCTTTGATGGCTGAACAATGGCCTGAGGGCTGTTGGGTCTTGTCACTCTGCCCCCTTGCAAACCTGCAGCCCCCAGGTTCAGGCAGCAGTGCTGAAGGTGATGATGATGGTGATGGCAGTGGTGATGGTGGTGGCTCAAGAGCAGGGGCAGGTGCCCTCAGCAGACCTCATGCCTCACTCTGGGCACTGGTTTTGGGGAGCAGCGTCTGTTCTGAGGGTTGCCAGCCTTGTGGTGCCTGGATTCAGCCTCAGCTCACCCTTACTTTGAGCCAAGTCATCGTGTGAGCAAATGTGAGTAATGTAAACCCCAACAGGCGGCACACTCGCAAAGTTTATTATGGACACAGGCTGATAGAAACGGAAAAACCCGTGCTTTATCTCCTCCTGTGTGGAGTGAAATCACAAGGGCATCTTGCCCTTGCTGCACAGCCACAGGCCCTTGGTTATGGCAGGGAATGGGGACTTGCCCTGGGCCAGCCTCGGGAGCAAAAGGGCCGTAGTGCCTCTGCTTGCTTAGCCGCCACAGCTCCTCGGCTTCCTCCAGCCATCTCCTCCCTACAATTCACCTCCTGCACCTTTTTGGGAAGGCTATCATCTTCTTTACAGAATAAAGAAAAGCCACCGGGAGACTCTTTCCATTCTCTTTAAGTGGCATACAGCTCAGTCTGTGACAAGGAAACGTGCCCTGATGAGAGGGCTCTGGTCCTGTGAGGACGCAGGCAAAGTTACAGGCCAGCATTCCTGGCCACAGGACCTTTAGAGGAGTGGGTCCATGCTCGGGAAGGGAAAGCTGTGTGGCCTTCCCAGGACATTTCTAAAACTCTGTGTGACTACAGCCTCTCAGCCCAGGAGAACCGGGTTTCCTCACAGCCAGGGCTACGTGTGGTGTGGGGAAAGGGCTGGCCGCTCAGCACTGATCTGTGAGGGAAGCACGCACAGCTTTGTGTCCTTTGGCTGTAAACACCACCCTGAGCACTTTCTCAGGAAGGACGAGGAGAACAAGCTGATTTTCACAGAATCACAGGGTCATAAAGGTTGGAAGAGACCTTCAAGATCACCTGGCCCAACCATCCCCCTACTACCAATATCACCCCACTACACCATGGCCCTAAGCGCCAGGCCCAACCTTTCCTTGAACACCCCCAGGGACGGTGATTTCAATTTTGTGACAAAAAAAACACCCAAAGTCCTGTTTTAATAAAACTTCGGCCACGGAGGAGAGCGAGGTCTGTGGGAGACACGAGCAGGACTGGAGCCAGCCCAAGGCTGCGCCTGTCCCACGCTGGGAGCCCACCGTGTGGGAAGGGGGAGATTGTGGGCTTAGGGCTCATGCACTGATAGCAACAGGCAGCTTTGCGGTGTTTTGATGGGAATTGCACAGCTGCTACAGTTTTTAATGAGGGGTCTCCCTAATGGAGGAGGGGTCTCATCATGGTGACTGAACTTTAGTAAAACTTTGTAAATCCACAAAGATTTGTGTCCATTTTCCTCCATGTTAGTGCAACATTCCCAGTCTCTTTTGTGACAGCAGTGAAACAGACAGAGATTAAAGAAATCTCACCTGCCATTAGGGCAATATTTTATTAAATAAAAAGTCCTCTTTTCTCCTTGAGAGACAGTTCTCTAGTGCTCACAGATATTCTTACATTGTCAGCTCATATTTTTGTGATCCTTTCCAGGGGACTGGAAGAACCTTATTAGCATGAGATAATTTAGATTTCTATTACCCTGCCTAAACTGTGGCACGAGGAGCATGGGTACAAACTGTAAATGCAAAGCAGCAAAGTGCACTGGAGGTCTCACTTGGTGCCTTGCAGAAATCCCTGTGGAGAGACATCAGCTACTGCTACCTCACTGCAAAGGCCCATCACTCAGGCCACGGCAATTCATTTTTAATCACAGGGGATGGAGCTGGTTGAGCTGGCATCGTACAAGTACACCAGAGAACAGGGGGATGTGCACCTCACAGCATTTAATGGGGGGACAAAGGCAGTTTACGTGCCAAGGGGGAGAAAAGGCAGAGGCAGAAAGGATCATAAAACATTGCCCATAGAGGAACTTTGCTGGACCAAGTTACGCCTTCAAAAGCCCAGCTCGTGTCCCTGCAGGATCAAAAGTTTAAGGATATATCGCTGAGATGTAAATAAGTTTCTCCTCCTGCTTGGAAACCCCTAGGTCAGCTGTACACTGCCATCATTCTCCTGGAAGACAGGGAAAAGTACATTCATCCAAAAGCCTCAGTTACTGGAAAGAGGGGTTTTCATCCTAAAATGTCCTGTTGCTGCTTCTAATGCTGGCAAGAGACATTGTGGCCCTGCACATGGCCAGCTTTCAGCCTTGGAAGTAATTTCTTTTCCCAAGGTCACCTGCAGGAAAACCAGGAATAGGAACAAACCATCCTCACTCCAAATCTTGCACTTTAATCATATGGCCACTGCCTCCCTCTTGCCTTTGCCAATTTTACACTGTCCTGCTTGCAGCGACATTCATGCTCCACAGCACCACTCTCCTCCAAAACGAAAATCAATAGAAGTCAACACTGATTTAAAAACCAAAGCAAATGAACTTTTCGGTAACTCTGACAATCACTCAGGAAGGACGAATGCACTCCAGACACCAACACCACGCTGGGTTTCTGGGGCAGCGAGTATTGTATCCAGGCTGCTCTGCTTCCCCGTGCTGCCTCCACTAGGAAAAACCAAACTCTTAAATCATGTTTTACACAAGAGAATGTCAAAATCTACCATCTTGTACCAGCCTGGAGAAAGCAGGAGGGGGAGTATAATAGCTATAACTACCAGCTCTATTTATGTACCAGCCAGATCTATACTGCTGGATAAATATTCTGTATGAAAATCCCTGGGAGAAGAGTGATTACGGTAAGAGTGGCTTATCTGCATGATATTTGATTAACAGATAAGGAGCTAAACAAACAGCGATTTTTGTTTGGCAACCTGTCCTATTTCCTCCACGAATGGTGGAATGTTTAAAAAAGAAAGCTAAAAGCCTATTTTTAGAAGCAGTGAGCGCTTGGCAATGACCTGTTCTCGCATCCCGGACAGCTGCCACCCAATGAAGGTTTGTGGAAGGAGAGCATCCTCACTGCTGGATGCCTCACTGCCCCCCTCCAGCCCCACAGCCACCATGCACAGCACCACAGCCACCACACCAGTACCTCCCAGGGGACCTCAGCAGCTAGGGGTGCAAGGCAGAACCCAAGTCCCCTGTAAAATAACAGTAAAGCTTCTGCTGAATTTAGTCAGGTCAGGGCACAGTCCAGAGATGTTCTTTGCAGAGTCCTCTCGTTTTCCAGAGGAGCTCATCCTGCTCCTCCTGGCACCCTGCTCACCAGGTGAACCTGGGCATGAAGATTCACCCCAGGGATGAGGAAGACTCTGCTGGTGGTCAGGGGTGGTGGAGTCAATGCTGAAGGAGCACCTGCATGGCTGCCTGAGAGCAGACCAGGAGCTGACAATAGCAGAAAGGTAATTCAACTCTCCTTTGGAAAAAAAATCCCTGTGGAATACACTCAAATGCATATAATTCACACCTGTTCTTTTTTGCTAGAAGCCTGGCCACAGGGTATGTATAATGATGAAAAATAGAAAAATTCTCTTCTGGAAAAATGAACTATGCAACCTCAAAAATATCCCCTTCACATTAAAGATGTGTTTCTCTTATACAACTGAAGAAAATCCTGCTTGAAAATGAACTATTTTGTAGTTCACATCATGTTCTTTGCATTGAGTTGGAGGTGGCAGAACTTCTCTGGGGAGCCTCACACAGACATTTCATGGGTTTCCTTTTTTTTTCCACCCCCCCCTTTTTTTTTTCAAGTCTTCTATGTGCAAAACCTAATGGCTTGTTTTTCTCTTTTCCCGGAGAGAAAAAATGATCCTGATTCAAAGCAGCACTGAAATACAAGGCTCTGCCAGATGTTACATAAACGATGATGTAATGCCAAAGTATTTCATTACACATGCAGCTCTGTTCTTCAGCCCAGCAGTGATTTATTACATTTTGTCAATCCCATTTTATGTACCCACATCATTTTTACATCATTTTTCTTCATGACATTGTTACATTCTCACAGAAGCACATAGAGATAACATCATAACAGTGCAGGCAATGAAGTTAGCATTTTACAAATAATGTTACTAATAAATAAGTATACCAGTGAGGGGGAAATGGTCTGTTTGAGAAAGTGAAAAGCAAATTTACCTTTGAATAATCTGATGGGGGGAAGAGGCCATAGTTCCAATAAGAAAATCGAGGCTGTATCCTCTCGAAGCATCTTCTGCCTTCATGCAGAACAGTGAGAAAATGCCTCTCTTGCCTCTTTTCAGCTTAATCTCACACTCTCTTTGTTTTCCTAATGTGCTCTGTGTGCTGCCAGCTAGATCTGATACACCAGCTGCTTGGTCAAAAAGATTCATCAGCGAGTGCAAGAAGATCAACGCTTAAAATCTGTTTTGACCCTGAAATTTTCAAGGCATAAGATATATTAGCTTTTTTTTTTTTTTTCCCTAATCTTCCTTGAAGATTTGCTAGAAAAAGCACACCCAGCAACATAGCTTGATATACGGAGAAAAGGAATTGCAGAAACAATAAGCTGAAAAGATATGAGGGTTGCATCAAAACAATGCAGCAGGATACTTAAAAGATGCATTCCTACAGAAATATGGTTGAAAAAAACAACCCCTCTGATGAGCTGAATGCCAAGAATCCTGTTAGATGACTGAAGCAGGTAAGGTATCTTTCCTAGCAGGCAGCCATTAACCTGCATCATGCAAAATGATGCAGTGAGAAGATGCATCTAGTAATAATTCAAAGTTTCCTTGTTCCAAAGAACATAGGGCCAAATTCTGCTTTTTCTATGTCACTAGAAAATCAAATGAATCTGCTGTTTTAAATGCCATGTCCCCCTTTGTCATATAAAAGGCATATCCCCCTTTTAAGTAGAGTGTCTGCAGGACAGTATTTTTTACTTAGTGGTTAAGGAAAGGGTCAGCAGAAGACTCAATTATATGCTTAATTCTCATTAATTTCAATGGTTAAGCACATGCTCAGATATTTGGCTAAACCAAAGCCTCCTTCTCCCGTTCTTTGTGATATGGTTGGGCCCTATTCCAGAGCCCATTAAAATTTGTCAGAGGCCACCCACTGACTGCACTGTATCTTGGATTTCATTGCAGAGTACTCAGCCTACCCGAAAATGTCAATGTTTCGCAGAGACATGCTTCTGCACTTACATATAGCTGAGTGTTTCCCAAACGTGGATGTCAGAAGTAAGCTGTCCAGCTGTCCAGAAAGGAAGCATTGCTCTCTACTCCAGGACATCTCTGAGTAGAGGTCTAGTCCACAACAAATTCTTACCATCTAAAGCAAGCAGAGAGATAAGCTGGGGTTTATTTTGACTCTCTGAGTGGGTTTCAGAACATTTTTAACGAATGCTCTAGTTGCAGTGGCAGGTTGGGATTTGCTGTGTCCTCTTGTTTCTGCTCCCCAGCTGATGAGACTCAATTTTCCAGTGAAGGTAATGAGAGAGTAGAAGTGGAGAAACCTCAACATACCACACATTTCCATCTCTAGTTAACACTAGATCTGGCCAAGCAGATCTAAAAAATAAAAATAAATAAATAAAAAAAAGTCAAGCCTTTCTGCAGTTGCTGTTTATTGTACGCATACAATGTAGACCCAACCAACCCCATCATTGCCATAAGTCATCTCTTCCGCCATTAATTCAGAAGAGGGATGTGCATGGAGAAAGGACTTGCCCAGCGCTGTGCAGAAGATAAATGGCAGGGCCAGGAACAAAATCAGGTTTCCCAAATCCCTTGCTATTATGGTAAAATGCCACCTGAGAGCAGAGCTTCATCTCCTCAGAGTAACTTCATTCAAAATACTCAGGGGTAGCCTTGGAGGTTTGGCCTCTTGGCCAGCATGCATCTCCAGGTGCTCAGCAGCTGGTGCCTCAGCAGCAGGTGTGACATCCCTCAGCTGGTCAGAGGGCACATCTCTGGCAGGGGCATGGGGAGCCTGCAGCCCCTGTCACCAGCCCTCGAGGATGGTGAAGATGGACAAAATGGGACTCATCGCTTCTCATATCCAGTGGTGCAGGTGGAGGCTGAGCTGGGCAAGGTCCATGGGGTGGCACCTGAGTTGGGAAGGAGGGACATGGTACGAAAAGTGAATATGCATGCAACACAGCCATCTTCTCAACCTGGTTCTGTGTGAGGATGTGCAGAGATGAATAAAGAGCTTGTAAGGAACTGTGGCATACACACATACACAAGGGTACAACCCCTCAGTGGGTGCAGGCTGCTATCGGAATTCAAAAAAAAAAAAAAAAAAGAAAAGAAAAAAAGGGTTATTATCTAACTAGCCATGAGATTTAAACTGGGGCAAATAGGAGTTTGATTTCTTTTCAGATAAAAGAGATGTTACAAATGAGAATTTTATCTTGCATGGAGGCGTGACAAAGTATGAGACAGAATCCTTCTTGATTACAATCTTCCATCATTTTGATTTTATAATTACTGAATGGAATCAATCAGCTTTCAATTGTTACCTTGGCGAAAGATTAAAACATCATTACTTGTCATACATATTTCACACTTTAGCAAATTTTAATAAACTGAATGCATGAGAAATGGTCGTATTATCTTTCATGGCACTGGGATGCTAATGACATTTCTATTGATTTTAATTCACATTTGTTGGTCAAAATTACTCAGATTCAGGCAAGGCATGGGCTCCCATAATCAACACTAACAAATGAGGACTGCTGAGCACTGAAATGGCTAAAATGGAATCATTAATCAGAAATATCATAAAATAATTGCCAATGAGCTAGGGAGGTCTTATCTTCCTAATGATCATCCTTTATGGTGTATCGATCTATGTATAATTGGTACGTGTTAGTGATCTCTCCACGAGAGTGCTAAGGTGGAAGCAAAGGGCAGCACCACGAAGCAGGTGGCACAAGACAACCACGGAAAGATGTCCCGGGTGCAGCTGCATGTCAGCACCCAGAGCTATGGTGGCCACTTTCACTGCCCCAGCTGGCTTGGTGGGAAGCCAAGGTGCCCCCTCAAGGAGCCAGCTTTGGCTTGCCACAGCAGAGACCTTTTGCTTACAGTGCTCATTGCCTGGGTCAGGCAGGATGGGCACTTCAGACCCGCCAGACAGTGGCATCCCCTGCTAAATCCCTGCCAAATCCCAGCTGGTGCCAGCACTGGCTGCTACACCTGCCGTGGCAGTCCCACAGCATTCAGCTGTGCTAGCCTGGTCCGTGCAAGACTATGACACATCTCCCATAAATACAGAGACAGGAGCATCCACCAGACACCGTGGGGCCTCCAACAAGGGTGTGTTCTCCAGGGGAGCCACAGTAACTCATGGGGCTGGGGAGGGCAAGCTTACAGTCCTCAGTGGTACACACAGACCTTAGGGGAAACACTGAGGATGACAAAACAGCCTCATAAAAATGCATTATATCATACTGTGGTTCTCATGCTTATAACATGGTACCTCCTTTTTATCACTATTTGAATGGTAAGACCATGACCTCATCAGTTCCTGCGGATTTTCCTGCGTGCTTCTAAACACAGCAAAAGTTGAAAAAGCCTCCAGCTTTGACATATTGTTTTAAATACCTTTTGATACAAATTATAGGACAATATGCTTCTCTCACTACATACACTGTGATTAAACCAATAGTCCAAGCTATCCTAAATAGCCCTGTCAATTTAGACAAGCAGACATACTCAATATTCCTGAAAACCAAACCACACTGATACACCAACAGACTCAGAACTTTACCTTGAAGGAGACAGTTTTGGAAATCCATTCCAGCCAGCATTTTTATGCTGAATCATGTTTTGTTATTTGAAATCATATTGGTGCTTTCTCTTCCACTTCTAAGCAAGACTTAATAGCAAGGTGATGTCATTAGGTCTTGAATTACTCAGAGTTCATTACAATTATCAATACACTACAGAACATTTACTAATATACTCTGAAATATTATAAATAATTAAAACTTAAATACATTTGTTGAATTAATAGAGCACATTTTGTGATACATTTTTTCGTTCTTCTCCTATGCCCCAATACTGGGATGCTATTAGCCTACAGTTCTGCAAGCTTTTAAAAATCAACTTAGAGAAAGCCCTTGAGATGTGCCATTAACACCAACAGAGCCTACTGCCTACTACTGATCTCCTTGAGCTCCTGTGCCAGTCAGCAGAGTTAGGTAGGTTTATCACCCTGTAGGGCAACTCAATAATAGTGCCTCAAGCTTTATTGTTTCAATGTGTGTACTCACAGATACATGCAATTCACTGATTTACAGCAGTACCTCACCAGTCACAGAGCATGTTAGAGAAATTGTAACTTAGCCAAACTATCAGCTGATCTCTGCTATCACTACCAGAAACCTTCACTGTCCCTCTCTTCATCATCACCAACCATAAATGTGAGTGGGTTTATGTCAAACAGCGGTATTATAAGTCATGTTTTAAATGTGCATAATGCAAAATAGCATGTTTAGCGGTGCCCTTAAAGGGGGCGTGTTTCTTCTAGTGGTGCTGTGTTCTCTGTTTCTCAGGTCTCCAGCACAGCAGTATGGATGTGCTGTTGCATCCCTTTAGAAAATACTACAGTCTGAGATCCACTTCACCAGGGGTAGAAGACGTATATCTGCTGTGGTGTACATGTGGTTTCCCCTTAGACACCATGCAGCATCCTGTTACACAGTTATGTGCACACCTAACAATTCAACAGGCCCTGCCCTAAAAATTGCTAACTCATTTGCAAGGCATCACAAAACAGCAAATGAAATTGATTATGCCCATCATTCACTGCAAATCATTTAACTACATAAAGAAAGTGAGATATAGGTCCTTAGAAAACAAAATGTAATGAGTTGATCGTCCCCCTGTATTCAGCTCTGGTGAGGCCGCACCTCGAGTACTGTGTTCAGTTTTGGGCCCCTCGCTACAAGAAGGACATCGAGGTGCTTGAGCGGGTCCAGAGAAAGGCGACAAAGATGGTGAGGGGCCTGGAGAACAAGTCCTACGAGGAGCGGCTGAGGGAGCTGGGCTTGTTCAGCCTGGAGAAGAGGAGGCTCAGGGGCGACCTTATCGCTCTCTACAGATACCTTAAAGGAGGCTGTAGAGAGCTGGGGTTTGGCCTGTTCTCCCACGTGCCTGGTGACAGGACGAGGGGGAATGGGCTAAAGTTGTGCCAGGGGAGTTTTAGGTTGGATCTTAGGAAGAACTTCTTTACCGAAAGGGTTGTGAGGTATTGGAATGGGCTGCCCAGGGAAGTGGTGGAGTCACCATCCCTGGAAGTCTTTAAAAGGCGTTTAGATGTAGAGCTTAGGGATATGGTCTAGTGGGGACTGTTAGTGTTAGGTTAGAGGTTGGACTCGGTGATCTTGAGGTCTCTTCCAACCTAGAAATTCTGTGATTCCGTGTGTGGTTCTGTGAGTTCCTCAGAATATTCCTGCTGAAAATGGAGGACAGGTTCCCTGCACCCCTTTCATCACAGAGATTATCAGTCAGCCAGTTCCAGCTCCTCCAAGAACAGGCAAGCTAGTTCTGAGTCTCCATTCTGCAATGTACAATACTGAATGAAATCCCAAGATATTGGGAGGAACTAGAGGGATCTCTCTACAGTTTGGCATGGATGAGCAGACTTTTATGGATAACACGAACAGCAAACATAAGAAAGATATTCAAAAAGCTGCATCAGCTGAAAGTCTGGTTCTTAAGAATTTTAAAAATATATCAGGGTTGAGTACATCTCACTGGGTCATGTTACAGGCTTGAGCACTACATTTCAAGGCTATTTGCATCATGTGTTCATGATACTCTCCCTTTCCTACAAGACGTATCTGGTAAGGCATTCTTGTAAACAGCAGAAACATTTCAAAATTTGAGATCAAATTCTACTAAAGGTACTACAAATATATGTGACAGGAAAGTTGAACTGAGCTTGGAGCCATAAAGAGGGGAAACACAGAAACACCCCCTAACCTTATCTCACTGCTCTGGACCGAAAAGCAGTAAGCATGGACTACAAATACAAACCTTCTCCCATTCCAGGATGATAAAACATGCTTCCCTTGTCCACTTGCACTTCTTGAGAATGGAAGAGACAATAACCCTTAACTGCTTCAGGAGAAGCACATACTACGCTGTTTCTTGACTATTTTTCATGCTTAAAAATCACTTTTCCAAGCAAATCTGCTCTTGCATTTCCCTTCAATTTGAAGCCCCAGGCAACCTCTCCCAAACAACTTGTTCACATCCATAAAATCAAGAAATTCCAGCCTCTGAATTTCCTTGGCAACTGGTGAGCAGCCAGGAAAACATTCTGTCATATCAGCTCACAGGATTCCACATCTTCACCAGAAAAATGTGGCACCACGAAAACAAAACAGCACTAACTCACCAGGAAGTCAGCAGCATTTTTCTTCTGGTTATAGTGTCTCTGGAATAACCAGGCACCGTCCTTCATGTACAAAAGTACAAGAAAAGACACTGAGTTTTATCTTGTTGATGATTTGTTGATTAATGGTTTCCTAACAGTCAAGGTCATTTACTGCATATCCAACATGACTGATGCAACATACTGTGGTAATAATCTCAGATCAGAGGGACATCAAAAATGAGCCTTAAGGACAAAATTCTCCCATTCCCATTCCCACTTAATGGCCATTTATAAAGCTACAACAAGCCTCCAAGTGCACCTTGAAACACCAGATTTAAGACTCGGAGCCTGAATTTCAAAGTAAAATAAATGCAGAAGAGTTTACTTGCTGTATGTTTCTACCTCTAGAGGCCTCTTATGGTATCACTACTAAAAAAAAAAAAAAAAATCAATAAAATTACAGCAGTGACACAAAACCAATAAAGCAGATAAATTCAGAGTTGAGGAATCACTCTTACACTACATCAGTCCCTAAGAGAATAAAACATGTTGCTAAACTAAAGCCTCATTAAGATGTCATGTACTCTTCCTGTTTTCCTTTCCATGGTCACTGGTTACCAGGGCTTCTTCTTTCTAATCAGTTCCTCTTTAATATCTTGCTCATACTGGGTGAAATGTTGGCTCTAGAGCCAGTATGAGATTTTCCATTTACTTCAGCAGGACCAAGACCTTACACCCTGAGTGTACTGTGCCTGTAGCTTGGCATAGCCCTGTGATGCCCCTTCTGCCCTGCACTGTTCCCCACCATGTGCCCTTTCCAAACCTCTGCCTACCAGATATCCCTAAATCCCCATCAGCTGCAATGAATTCCTGCGTTTTACTGAGCACATGGCTCGTGTATGTGTATGTGCATGGACACAGAAACAGATATGGATATGGATACTGATCTGATGTACACATACATATCTCTGATTCTGAAGAGGGAAGGTAAGTACACCTAAATTAGAGACTTGGAATACGTACGGATTCCACAGCTGTGTCTGTCCCAGGTGTATTAGGCCATAACACCAGCCCCTGTTCTGCCCAGAGACCCAGCTGCACAGCCCAGGCCACTTCAAAGCAACAGGACACTGGAGAGGTGTATTCACCTGATCCAGAAGCTTCACCTCCCCTCTGCTCTAAAGCATATGGGATTTGGACTGCAGTTCCTGAGGGCCTGATACTCACTCAGGGCCCTGGGGACAGCCATGGGGATGACCCATCATTGAGGGCCAGAGGTCTCCGAGGGATCTCATTTCAACATTTATCCCAACATTTATCTAGTTATGGACTGACACGAGTCCATCACCACTTGTGGAGAAGACACAGACATGGGTTTCAGGCCTGGGGAGGGGATGAGGGTGAATCAGACTCTCTCTCATGACTTGTTGATTTTGCCTTTTCTGTTAAAACCATAATGCACTTTTAACATCTTTATAGATGTATATGAAAGTGTCAGTTGTGTTGTTGTAATGTACTGTTAAAGAAGCTATAAATGCCTTATGACTCAAGGATCTCCAGCCAGAAGAGTAGAGCTTAAAAATGGAACAAAATTGCCATCCATAATTTAAATGGGCAGCATTCCCATTGAAAAATGCTTTTCAATTTAAACTCTATTAACAGGAAATTAGAGATCTCCCATCACAGTGTTATTGTTTATTTTAAAATAAAAACTAAGAACATAAAAATACTATCAGCACAAATGTTTGATAGACCCAAAAATAAATTAAACCACTTTATTATGTCTTTTACCCCCAGTGCTTTTCTTACAGTTCCCAACAATTTAAATATATGCAGAGACAAAACTAACAAGGATGGAGTGCAAATTGAAATTTAGGGCCAATTCCTTGCTGCTCTGAAGTCAGTGACAGAACTGCCACTGATGTCCATATGATCAGCATTTGGACTGGGGTGTTTCTATTAACACTACAAAAAAGCTACTACAAAATTAGCTACTACAAGAAAGGCTGACCCTTGACTCTTTGCATGACTGATCTACTGTTGTCAAGAGGAGATCACCACAATCACCATGTGTAAAACAACATATTTTTTCCTGCTGCCTGAATTCACTTGTAAAAAAAATAAAAATAAAAATATATAGACATAATGTATATGTATTTTAGGAATGAAAGCCTGTATACATTCATATGTAGCTGTGGGTGCAGCTGAGTGTGTGTCAGCATATGTAGCCATTTTAACCATCAAAATGGTAAAAAGACCATAACATAGATGGGAAGCTGAGTCTGGGATTCAGTTCTTGTTAAATAGTTACTTGTGCAATGTAGGGTTCAGCAAAATAGGTAACTCAATATTCCAGCTGCATTTTTATTTGCAGAGCAACTAGGAGCCTGAGGCATAATTTTAAAGTGTCCAAAACTACCTGATTTAGAAAAATGACAACATCACATGCCTTTTCTTCCAGGAAAGATTCTGAGAGTTCCTCATTCCAGTCTGGCCAGAAATATAACACTGTCAGTCTTTCTTATAACACTCCAGTTCCTCTGTTGCTAATGTCTAAAACCAAGAAGTATAAAGAGGTGAGGAAAAAAAAAGAAAAAAAAAATAGAGAGAGAGAGAGAAAGAGAGAGAACAAAAAGGTTAGCTAGAATTTTGCAAACCTCAAGAAAATCACAGACCATAATTGCAATGACAATTAAAATGTTCCCTGTCATTGCAAGACAGCCAAGAAAGTTCCTGGCTCTCTCCCGTTGGAGTATTATTTTTGATTTTCATATGAACTGTATTAGCTCAGTCATTTCTTGATCTAGTTTTATCAGTTTGCTTTTCCCATACTGTGTTTTTAGCAAAGAATTTCCACATGTTTACAGTAAAGAAACGTGACTTGTAGCAGTATGGGGCTGCTTGTTTTTCTAGCTCATATCCCCCGTCATATGCCCTGAAGGCTTGGTCTCTGTGAACCAATGAAACCCCGAAGAGCACCAATAAAGCTTGATAATAACTAACAGTGTCAAAACATTTAGAGAAATGGGACAATGCCCTTCAGTGAGCTACAGTTTATGGGAGGAAAGAAGTCAGTAGGATGCTCTTGGTTTCAGCAGATTTTGGTGGTGGCCAAGTCCATGGTGGCACAGCTTGGCTCATGAAGGCACTGCCTGCCTCAGAGTGGTGGCTCAGAGGTCTGCAATCCTATGGAAAAGAGAGGCAGAGAATGAGGGAGGGAAGGCTGGAGAAACAGCACCAGGAGTCACTGCACTTCTGAAGTCTGGCTTCCTGCTGCGTTGTCTCTCACGCCTGGGCTTTCTAACAAGGCACAACCTCTAATGAAGATTTCTTTTATGAGGAACTTCCAAAATATCACTTTCCAATGACGATTTTCTATGGGGTTTAATAAAGAGTGATTGCAGACAGCTGCCTTTCCTTCAAAGGAGGCCTTCATCACATTTCTCCTCTACCCTTTCTACATAATTTTCATAAAAATAGCTTGAAATAGATGCTTCTGCATCTTTGGCTCAAATCAGCCCAAAGGTTCAGGTGAGAGATGCAAATATAGAGACAGAGACACACCCCGCATGGCTAAAACTGTGTTCTCTTTGTGGGGAAAAAGGGGTAAAAGGGATAGGTCTTAGCTGTTATGGTACTGAGGCTAAACTTCCTGACAGGAACACTGACAGGTGAACGTATGTTTCTTTCTTGGTGCTGCAGAGGGTATTGAGCTCTAAGTGATGTTAATTGACCAAATTAAACCCACAGCTTTCCCCCACAAACTCCAGTTATGGAGATCCTCCCATGCAATGCGATTGCCATCAGCGCCAAAACCTCCCTCCTGGCAAAACTGGTGACAGTGCTCTGTCCCCTCTGGAGATGTGGTTTTCTTGTGGTGGCTGCATCTCCAGAGGCTATAGGGTCAGGGTATTTCCTCGGTGAGAGTGGGGCCTCTGAGGGTGGGCCTATCCTCAGTGGGGGTGCACGTGGGCACCTCCGGGGTGCCCACCTGCACTGGGGAACCATGCTGAAGATGGTTTGGCACCGGCATCACCACAGACACAATAGACATGTCAATGAGGTTGGTCAGAAGGAGGAACAGGCCCGCTTCGCCTTCCAGGTGTGATGTGAGCCATCCCGTCTTGGGCAGCACGTGGCCACGTCAGCCTGGTGTTGGTTTAAGCTCATAATCTTTCTAGCGGGCAGCTTGGGTTCACCCTGGCTGAGCCTCCCACCACCGCGCACACAGGCTGAGCTGCTTCGGGCCTGACCCGCTCTGAGCACATGCAGAGCTAGCACCAGCCCCTCCAGCCTGCCCTGTGTCTGCCTTTTAATGGCTGTTAGACCCAAGCTCTCCATGTCATGGCACATTCAAAGTGCTTCTGGCTGCTCGGGGGATGAGAAGAATGAGCCTCGGTAACAGGCTTCGCTAGAAGGTCTGAGACGTGACATCTGGTAATCCAATTAGGCCACAGGGAGCAGCTTGATCACCTCAGGTCTGGACTAACTAGTCCAACGCTTTTTCCTGAATTCTGGTAACGTCCTTCTTCCACGTCCCGTTTGTCTTTACTCTCACTACCAAATCCAGACCTGGCACCACAGGCAACTTGCTAGATTTCAGTGGCCCTGTACTTGCACTAGCCAGTACCAGACCTTGCCCTTCATTGTCCCTGCTCCTACAGAGCTACCCATTGCGTGCTGCAGTCTGAGTGCACACAACCCTTCATGCCACAGTGTCCGCTCTGGGTGAGCTCAGTGATCTCAGGCTGTTCCAGTAACCTTGACTAAACCCTTTCTCTTTTTCTTTGCTAAATCCACCTACTGAAAGAAAGGCCGCTTCAAAGGGAGACTCTCGCCCTGCCTGACATCATGGCATGTTGAGATAATTCAGAGTAGTTATGATAAATGTTCTGTCTAGTGGCATCAAGAAACAAACAACGGGCTCACAGCAACATAAGATTAAACATGTTTTTGCAATTATCTGGGGAATTGTCTTGCTGACCATGTCCTTTCTTTCTATTTTTTACAGCCTGCAAAGAACAGAGAACCTTAGATGGTAGTGTGACATTCATCTGCGGTGCTTCAGGCCCCCAAAAGGGAAAGGCAGGTCTCCTATAAGAGAATTTTCACTTGTCAGGCACATTTCCAGTCTCTGGACCGCAAGCGCC